TAATTAAAAAACAAACAAGCAAACTGAAGTCTTCGTATAATATTCTCACTTATGAGCGAGGGATTAGCCCACGCTACTGTGTGTGATTTGTTTCTAATTCATTCATTTGACAATGCAAAAACATTTTTTTAAAAGAAGTATATTGATTCTCTAGAGAAAAATAATTATCATTAACGCTTCCAGTTTCTGAAGCAAAAGCTGTTTACACTTATGATCTTATGATCTATCGCCAATGCTATAAATAATGATAACGTTACCTTAAATGAAAAGTTACAAAATTGAAGAAACATTCTACTTAATAATTGTTGATATATGTGACTATGCATGACAATGTGTAAGTGAACAAATGACAGCGATAGGGAACAAACAATATTTTAATAATGTTATTTCCCTCATGAAATTAGTCGTGCCATTTAGAATGCCACTTGGGCCGCATGTGGCTCGCGAGCAGCAGTTTGCCCATGATTGATCTATTGGTTTCGAAAGGTTCCAATTTGAGTCATTAAACACGCTTAGCTTAAAGTCGGTTTCCCAGTATAAAAGGAATGTAGATTCGATAGATGACAATTTCACTGTTTAAAAACATGGATGTCGAGTTAAACACGTGTACACACGAAATATAATGTTTATAGCAGGTGTTATCAACCAGAGGGAATTTCAGGGTTTCAAAGGAGATTTGTGATATGATCAAATTTCCTCCATTAATGAATCTGTCCTGAAGACATCTATTCAGGAGAACTCCACTGAGTTCATTAAAGCTTACTGTTAAGCAAATACGTATTGTCTCAAACAATTCTACTACAATTTACTGAAGTCTTATTGTTAACCATTTTGATAATGGCTAATTTACTCGGTCCGGAGAAACTTACTATTGACTCCAACGCGTCTGACGCCGAACTGGAATATCGACACTAGAAAATAACTTCCATGTACTTCTTGAGTATGTACTGCGCTCTTCGGCTGGATTCGAACCTGTTTCCTTTAGGGGAAACCGTCATTAGATGTGACATACTTTGACCTGTCAAGCTCCAAAATGCGTCGATGACCAAAATAAATAAATATACTGTTTAATAAATAAACAGAGCGTTTACTCAAATATGAGTATTCATTAAAATTAACGTTTAAAGTGATAAAATCTGTAGGATTAATAGATAAAAAATCTCTTACTTCTTTAGAAATATATATTACGAATAATAATACAGAGTGTCTGCAGTGTCGTGTAATGGATAGTGGCTCAATGAGAAATCGGAGAGCTGTCGCGGTCGCCGATTAAAAGCCGACCTTGACCTTCACAACTCTCGATCTCGCAGATCTAGGTCAAGCAACAGGCCAGAAACCGGACGGCTAGTCCAATATCGTTGATGTCAAACCATACCTAGTACGCATCTGACTATTCCATTCTAAACATCGGCAACCATAGACTATAATTTATTATCTACGGCCTTCTACTCCTCTAGCTAGGGAGTACTTGAACAAATCTTTGCAAATATGCTTAGACACTTTTTTTCGAAGGCAGGTCGGCCCGGAGGCCTGGATTGTAGTACACTACCTTTTGTGAACTTCCGGTGCTTTTGTCGAGAGTGTTACTCTTCGGCGCGATCCCGTCTCCACCTCGTGAAGTAGCATCACTGGTCTGCCTTGGCCCTGTTTAGGGACTCCGTCTTCGCCTGGTGATACACTTTGGCGCGACTAGCATCAAGTCTGCCTTGGCCCTGTTTAGGGACTCCGTCTTCGCATTTCGGCCGAACCAACCACGTTCGCCGACCAATCCTAAACTACCGGGCCAGACCAGCTACTTTCGACCAGACCAGCTACGCTCACCTACCAATCCTAAACTACCAGGCCAGACCAACTACATTCGACCGGACCAGCTACATTCTACCGAACCCTACGTTCGCCTACCAAACCTAAACTACCGGGCCAGACCAACTACCGGACCAGACCAGCTACAATCGACCGAACCAGCTACGTTCGTCGATTAACCAGTTTTCGGACCACACCGATGTAAATGTGTGAATAAAAACGACACTTTTGTTCATAACAAAAACCTTTGCCTTTGTCCCGTCATTGTCTTGGCTGTTCACATTTATCGTATACTTAAAAACCTTGCGGGGGCGACATCCTACTCGGCCCCGCAACAGAGCCGAGCCGAATTCGAATTCTAGTCGGGTTCGTTCACATAAGCGCTAATACCCTTGGGAAAGGTGTGAAGCCATTTCTTTACCCCAAGCTATTACTCGAATAGCAGGACAAACTATAATTTTGGTTGGCAACCAGTATATCACAGAGAAGCGGTAGCCTATATATGAATATACATATATATATATAAAGAGACATAACATTATATATATATATATATATATATATATATATATAAGTGGGAGTACAGGCTGAATGCTATCTCATTATTTCTACTTTTCAAGTTGAATTTGTGTACAAATGTTTGGGATAAATGAGGGATCTCAAGTGAAATTGGAACTCGGTTTGTTGATTACGCTTTCCGTGATAGTAACAGCTGCGCCCTCTGTTGAACAATATGAATAATACGCTTCTTTCTGCTCTCTGTTCCTATCGCCCTGTTTGGAAACTAACATAAAGGAGTTTTTGATTTAAAAAAATTTAACAAAAAAATATTTCCAACAAATATTTGAGGTAGCAACATTTATCAGTATAAACACGTGACACACACGATATGAACCGAATTTAAAGTTATGATAAAATTTATTTCTTAACAACACGCAAATGATTTATACAAATTTAGCATTTTGTGTGCCTAATGATGTAAATTAACACCAAAAATTAAGATAACCTTTTACAATTACTGCATAATATTATATTACTGCATAAGAAGGAAAAAATGCATTAGGTAAAGAAAAAGAGAAATAATTCTCTGAATATTTTTAATTGAGGAATTTGGTATACTTTTTTTATGAAGAAAATTTGTGATTTTTTTTCTTGTGGTAATAGCGAATATTTAGTTATATTAACCACACCAGCCGAAGACTTGTCACTGTGATGGAAGCAACCATTGTTACAATTATCGTCAGCGACAATGTGTAGTCTAAATTGATTGCGTCATATTTCTTCTGAACCGAGGAAATCTGACTTCCTGTGGTAACTTGTTGTCCACCTTATATATCAAAGATAGATACCCACCGAACACAATTTGGAAGGAAACCCTTTCACTTGTTCGGATGTAGTAGTACAAGTACTGATGTTTTGCCCTAATCAGAATGTACCATAAATATTTTGAAAATTAAAAAGAGCCAAGCGTCTCTATATCTCTGAAAGCTTGATGCATGCTCATGTAACTTATATTTCTTATAAACACGCGACAATGAAGAGAAGAAAGAATTATATATAATATATATATATATATATATATATATATATATATATATATATATATATGTTCCTATCACCATGTTTGGTTGCAAGAGAAGAGAGAATTAATGCATAATTACTCTTCCATAACGACCTGACTTACCCAGGATGTAGCAGTAGCCAACGCTGTTACTCAACACACCAACATAACGAACCTTAGCCACAGGTCCACTCAGTACATGGCAGTATACAGTCAAATCCCGTCAATGACAGTGCTTATTTCTAATTCTTGAAAGTCGCGCTTAAATGAAAAATGTTAAGCAGGCAAAATCTGGCAGCTCATCCAGTTTGATAATAAAAAAAAAGTATAAAAAGTATAAAAAAGTGTGAACGTATTGATTTTTATGATTGTGAATTTCTATGAACAATAAGATGAAATCCAGTCGATACCTTCAACATTCGCCAATCGACCACAGACATTTCTCTTGGCACCTTCATTGAGCAGGAAGAGATTTCCAAAGAGCAGAAGCACGCTCGCATATACACACAACTGTACATACACACACACACACGCCGGAATATTCGCATACCTGTAGTGTACACAGTTACACTCCTGTTCATACACGCACGTACATACCTCTACACACACACACACACACACACACACACACACACACACACACCTACACACACACACCTATGCACACAAATGTAAACGCATACAGACACAGTTATATACATACAGGCACATCAGGATACAGATATACACAGATACACGCATTCATCTACACATATATACACATGCGTGCACGAAACTGATTCATACATTTTTTTGGTGGAGAAGTGCATCTGTCATGGAAATTTTTACGTTCGATGCAAAAGTCACGACACTTGACCTTCGTTAAAATGATGTCAGTTGACCTTCGTCACGATCTCAATTTAGGTTTTCATAGTTTTTAATAACTACTCTTCAAATTAAAATAAAAGCACATGTATTTCATATACGAAAAATGTGGGTTATTTAAAGCCGGGTAGTTTTTGTGTTGTAAATATAATTTTTTTGTAAGTTAATACTGCATTAAAAACCTTTTCGAGAATAACAGTGATTTTTTTCCAGATACAGGTCCTACTATTTAACCCGTAGTTAGGGGTAGGTAGTGGCGAGGGCCTGTGAGAAGAAGTGAAGTTAAATGACATCATTATCGTTATTCATGGGTCCAATTCACCATCACGAACGACGTGAACTTGGAGAACATCACTGTGAGTAACTCGTTGGCATCTGCTCAGAACCACTTAACTTTCATCTTGCTCAATTGGACACTTTCTATAAGCTAGCTATCCCCTTGTCATTGTGGCTGGAAGTTAGTGACACGCTCACAGAGTGCCTTTTTATTTCATTGTCACATTGGAATCACCCATGTTAATATGTCTGAAAGAAATATGAGAATATTAAAATTTGGTGCATGCTGCGGAACATATATATATATATATATATATATATATATATATATATATATATATATATATAAGGAAGTCGCTACAATTTGACGTGTTTCTCTACTCGCTACTCTCTACTTATTTAGCTACATCAGAAAAGTTGCAAATGATATGACTTAGAATTATATAGTAGGATTTTGCATTGTATATTTCATTTTTTTAATGTAACAAAAAGGCTTACGGACACATCAAGTTGAAACACCGGTTCCCCCCGTACGATCACCAAAGTTAAGCAGCATCGAACCTAGTCAGTACCTAGATGAGTGGCCGTTTGGGAATCTCTGGTGCTGTATGCTTAGATGTGTAGCGGTTGTAATGGATAATGGCTCGGAATTGTTAATCAGAGAGCCGAGTTCCAATTCCAGTTGGGTTCGTTATATTAACACGTGCAAATACCATTGGGAAAGGTATGAATCCACCTCTTATCCCCAGTTATGTTTTATTTAGTAAGACTTGTATCACTAAACCGTTATTATCTCAAATAAAAATTCTTGCAATTTAAAAATATTTTCTGGCTTTAAATAGCCTGTAAAGAGTTGATAAGCCGTAGAAAACGAATCAATTAATTAAAAAAGCATTCAAATTGGTAAAAATTATGTATCATTTGAAAGTGTATTTTATATACTTTTTGGATAAAAGAATTATTTTTTTCACTTATTGCATACATATATTTTAATTCGAAACATTAATAAAGTTTTGGCAGAAGGGTCTGTTAACGAATGCACAATGCAACGATGGTTTCAGAAATGTCGTCATGGTGAAGATAAGTAAGGTCGTGGAAGTCAAACTTCCATTGAAAATGAGGAAATGAAAACATTAGTGGAGGCAAATCCTCGCACCATTATTCGAGAGCTTGCAAGAAAGATAGGTGCAAATATTGGATCAATTTCTGAACATATGAACAAAATTGAAAAGTCTAAGAAGTTCTACAAATGGGTGCCATAGAAATTGCATGAAAACCAAAAGAATTGTTGTGATGATATCTGTTCCGCTCTTCTTTTTCGCAACAAAAATTACCTATGTCTCGATCGCATTGTAACATGTGATGAAAAAGGGATGCTATATGACAACCGATGACGTTCAGGACAATGGTTGAATCGAAGGAGACTCCTAAATCCTTCTCAAAGCCGAAGTTCCACCAAAAGAAGGTTATGGTAACTGTTTGGTAATCTAAAACTGAATTCATTCACCGCAGCTTTCTGAACTGGTGAAACAATCACAACTGCACAGTATTGCCAAGAAATCAATCAAATGCATCAGAAACTGCAGCGTATGTGTCCATTAGAAAAAATACAATTCTCTTGCATGACAATATTCGGTCGCATGTTACACAATGGACACTACATAAATTTTCATTTAGGCCGCAAGAGGTTACCGAGTGTTATAGAATATGAGAAAAATTACTATTAAGGAGAGAGAACAATAAAAGAACAAGAATTAAGCAGACAGAAGATAACGATTGGCATTGCATTTAAATTTTTTGAAGTTGACTGGGAAGCAAGAAGCTGGAAGATAGTTCCACAAGCGAGAATTACGATAGAAGAAACTGTTAGCATAGAACTTATAGTTACATCTAATCGTTTCAATTGTAAAATGCCACCAATATACTATTGTGCTTAAATCAATAAAGTCTAGGTACCATAGCGGAAAGTTCACCAGAATAATTGCCATGATGAGAAAAGAGACTGAAGCCAGGACCAATAATATTGCAGATTTTATCAAGAATCTCTAAATATATAGCAGGATCTTCAGACCATATGTGGCAGCAATATTCAAAGCAAGGATGCATCGTAGACTTATAAATATGTAAGCTAGATTCTGCTGAGAAAAACTATCTAGAATGATATAGGGAACCAACTTTCTTATATGCAAACTTAGCAATTCATTCAATATACTCTTTCCATTTCATCTCAGCTGAAAACGTTAGTCCGAGAAGGCGCAATGAGTCACTCTCATGGAGATTAGCACCAGTCATGAAGGTAAAAAGGGTTCTATCAAATGATTAAAAGAGGAGAGTTTCGTTTTTGATGCGAAAATTAACAAACTACTCCTTATTATCAGATGGTTCTCTTGAGTTCTTAAATACTGGAACTACAGAAGAGGATTTTCAACAAACAGGAAAGCAGGAAGCAGCAAGACATTTATTGTAGAGTGTTTAAAGAGAACAGGAGACAGTTCAGGAGCACATTTCTTAAAGACTATTGCATCAAGTCCACATGCTTTGTGAGGATCCTGTTTAGAAATGATAGCAATAACCATGGACAGGATTATACGGATATCACTCAACAGATATTCAGTTCTAAGTGGACAGTCAGGCAAATATACTCCAGATGAATCAAGAGTGGGGTTTAAAAGAAATTTATGAGAAAACATTCTGCTTTTTTCAGCAGATGTTAACACCTGAAATTGAGTGAATAGAGGAGGGATAGAAGACTTACTCTTATTTAAGACATTACTCCAGAGCCGTCAGTAGTCACGTGAACCAAACTTACTATAGGCTATGCAGTGCCTCAATCTATCAGCAAACAAAGTCTTAGGGACTTTGAGGAGATGTTTACAATTAGTTCGAGTAGGCACAAATGAGCATCAATTGTTATCAGAATTTTCACAACCAGTAAAATGATTCCTATGGGCTATGGCGGTTGAACAGCTTGGTGTGGACCAAGGAGAAAATTGTGTTTTCACATGATATTTGCAAGAAGGTACAAAAGCATCAATGTCGGCTTTAATCCAAGAAGAAACCCCTGTGGCACAATTCTCAATAGGAAGGTCAACCCAAGGGGCGTCTCGAATGAAAGTCACGAAATGAATCTCAATCAGTACGCTGGTAACAGAATGAAGTTTTGTTAATAAGAGGTCCCTTTTCTGATAGATTTCAAAAGACATATCAATAGATACTACAGCGTGATCTGAATTGCCATGAGGTCAGAGTTGTGATGTTCTACAAGAGTTAGGAGAGGAGGTAAGGAAGAAATCAAGTAAAGAAAAATGTTGAACAAATTTATTAGGGAAACAAGTAGGGAAATTCACTATTTGACTGAAAGACTGAGCAATGGAAAATTGAAATTCTGAATACCGGCAACATCAATAATATTAAAATGCTTAAGCCACTTGGCATAATGAGCATTAAAATTGTCAAAGACAAAACAATTCGCAGATGGATGTCGAGAAAGAGCCATTTCTATGCTATCAGAAGTTTTGTTTAATATATTACAGTCCCGAGAGGAAAGAGAGCGATAAAAGAAAAAGTGATAGCACATAACATAGTGCAATAACGAAAATCGAAAGCACATGAAATAATCATCTGGGGACTCAAGAGATAATTTCCTTGCAATTGGGAGATTTTCCAGAATATAAGCACCGAGGCCATGCACATGTATGCTAGAATCTTTTCCGCAAAAAGAAAGATAGCCTGGAACAGATAATTCATTGGTAGCAATAAAAGAATTTAAATTAATTTCACAAAGTACGAAGACATATGGAGACTGTTTCAAGAGAAAATATTGTTTTAAAAATAGAACGAATTCCACGAATATTGGAGAAAGAAAGGTTGTAAGGGGTAAGTTTTTGTTTACTTGTTTACACGTATTTCTTTTCATTGTATCTGTCATAAGATTTGTTTTAAGAAGAAAAGGGCGAAAATAATTATCACTACCTATCGTCTATGGCAATACAAAATAGCTGCAAGGTGGCTCAGACTAAATCATAATGTGACGTTGCCCACCAAAAATACATCCAGGGATACCTAATCATGTGCAACACGGCACTTCAAATACATCGATATTATGTGACTGTTGATCAGATCAGTCTTTCTAAGGGTTACCAAAAAGTTCGGGATCCTTACTTCCAGACGGAAGCAGCAACGAGAAAACTGCCAACCCGATACCCTCATAATGCAAAGTCACAGCCACTGGTCAGTGAGATGACCAAAACTTTAAGACAGTTAAATAATTATAGCCATTGAAGAAAGAACCGGCAAATTGCAAACAAGGGATAAACCTCTACTCCTGTTCAATAAAAATGGAAGATGTACTGATAATTGAATGAATTGTCTACGAAACTCTGCCTCACCCAACTTGCTCACCTGAACCCTCGCCAACTGATGACCACTTTTTCAAAGATTTTGGCAACTTCTTACAAGGAAAGGTTTTCAGCTATTCAATTGCTGCTCAAAAGGCTTTGGAAGATTTTGCCTCCCAAACTTCTAACTTTTATTCTCAGAGAATAACTATGCTTGTTCTTGTTGTCAAAATGTGTAGAATTTAATGGTTCTTATTTTGATTAATAAAAATTCTTCTGAAGTGCAATCTCCTATTTTAAAAATAATGGTTAAAAACTTGCATTATTTTCTAAACGAACAAATATTTTTACTTCCAAAATTGACTATATTGTATCCAATTTTTAATACGTGCTTAATGCAAGTTGACATTTCAAAAATTAAGATATACACATGACGTGAGATATACACGTGGCGTTCACACAACCAATGAGTACAAACCAACATAGAATTTAAAAACTGAAAAATAACCCTGATTCATTATATTGCATACTCATTCTCTTCTGAGGAGGACTTGGCCACTGCGCCAAATAAGCAAAATGTTGTATACTCTTCCTTGTTGGAAGGGGGTGTTGAATAACAGAGTCGATTCCATAACATCGTAACTTCTCCCGTTCGTCTTATCCCGGCCGGGTGATCGCTAGTTCGGAGGTGAAATGAGAACTTCAACAAAAGCGATTTAAAACTTATCTATTTTATTAAACACGTCGACGTGTACATCTTCTAACTAGCTAGTGGGATTGCTATCCCACCCCACTGGGGAGCAGTTTCCATACATGAAAATAACACGTCTGCATTCTCCGACGTGCAAAACTTCCTGAATTCACTTTCTCTCTAACATTCCCAATCAAAATCGACATACTTATTTTGTTTACCATCTGACCTTAAAGGTCAGCCTCAGGTCTGAGCCAAAATACACTGCCACTAATAAATAATACTCTGAAACTATTATTTAATAATTACACTAAAATATTTGATGAAGCTATATAAATAACGAAACATATCAAATTTAGAGAGAAGGTGATGTCGCAACTGAAGTCAAACAAGAGAAAGAAAAGGTCAACAAAACTTCGTTCTTGTATCAAAACAGCAAAAGAAACAATAACGTCTAACAATTTGAATACAATTTAATAACAACAATGGTGACAATCAGGTGAAAGAGAAAAGGTATTCTTAGAAGTGTTAAAGTGAAATCATAGGTCTATTGCAATGAAGTTTGAGAAAACAAATGCCCGTG